CTGCTCCCTTCTCTCTGTCCCCAGCCTGCTCCCTTCTCTCTGTCCCCCACCCTATTTCATCCTACACTTCAAGAGATCTCACAGTCACCTATGTGGACCCTAGCACTATGTCCAAGCTCTGGCCACCCTCGTCCCCTATGAGTGTCACCCTTCTGCCTCACAGGGCATACACAGGAAAGTTTAAAGTCCTGGGTCCCTTCAGTGTGGCCGAGCTGGTGGCAGGGTGGGGCGCAGGCTCTACTGGACATGTTCCCTTGGGCCCCCAACTCGCTGCCCTGCAGGGCGCAGTAAGATGTGAAACTCCAGTGCCCTCTGGAGAGCAGCCCCTGGGAGAAGGGAAGGAGGGCGGGTATGGGAGGGAGGTGGGCTTCTCTGACTCATCCTTCTGGGCCGTCTGTCTGCCTTGCAAGGGAACCATGGAGACTTTTGGCATCTGTTTCTCCACGTGTCTGTCTGTTGTGTGTCTGCTTTTCCTTGTACATATCTCTCCTCTTCTCCCTCCCTCCTTTCCTCCTTCCCTTTTCTCTTCCTTCATGTCCGGCTTTCTCCCTCCTCCCCTTTCCCTCCCCATGTCTGCCTGTATCTTGCTCTCTCCCTGTATTGCTCTCTCTCTCCTTCCTCCCTCTCTCCTCCCCTCTCTTCTCCTTTCTTTTGCTTCTCTTTTTATCTCCTTTCCTGTCTCTCCTGCTGTCTATCTATCATCTGTCCATGTATCTATCTATATCATCTATCATCTGTCCATCTATGACTATCTATCATCTGTTCATCTATCTGTTATCTATCAATCATCTGTCCATCTATTATCTATCAATCAAACGATCTACCTGTCTATCATCTATCTGTCTGTCATCTATGTATCTACCTTTCTCTTTTCTACCCACCTGCCGACCCACCCGTCCATCTTTCTATGTTCTACCCTCTCTCTCACCTTCCTTCCCTATCATTCGATCTCGCTCTGCCTTCTTCCCTCCCTCTTCCATCCTGCCTCTCCCCATCTCTGCCTCTGTTTCTCCCTTCACACTTGCAGTTACCCTGAGGTAAACATCCAGAATTTCACCACCAGCTGGCGGGACGGATTGGCCTTCAATGCCCTCATTCATCGGCACAGGTACCACCTGGTCTGGGGCACCACGTCCCCGCAGCCGCACACCTGTACACGTACCTGTGGAGATGGCATACACAGGCACAAAGGCCCGTCCCTTCAGCACTACACACGGATACACTTTCCTTTCCCTTCACTCATATGCCCTGCACATTTACACGCAGGAACACACACCCACACAGGCTCCTGTCCAGGCCACATACCCTGTGCACACGTGCGCCCTCATACAGATGTGCACACACACAGATACCCAGGCACGTGCACAGCCTGTCCGCAAGGTAGGGAGCTCTCTCCCCTATCGCTGTCCATGCTGCTGTGTGCCCAACACCTCCTCCTATCAGAAAATGCTTTCTGGGGCCGGGCTCGGTGGCTCACGTTTGTAATCCCAGCACTTTGGGAGGTGGAGGTGGACGGATCACCTGAGGTCGGGAGTTCGAGATCCGCCTGGCCAACATGGCCAAACTCCATCTCTACTAAAAAATAAAAATAAATATAAATAAACAAATAAATTAGCCAGGCATGGTGGGGGCATGGCGGTACACACCTGTAATCCCAGCTACTGGGGAGGCTGAGGCAGGAGAATCGCTTGAACATGGGAGGTAGAGATTGCAGTGATCTGAGATCATGCTACTGTACTCCAGGCTGGGCAACAGAGTGAGACTCTGTCTCGAAAAAACAAAAATGAAAACGAAAAGAAAATGCTTTCTGAAAGTGAGCCCCGAGAGTTCCCGTCCCTGGCTCCTGCACACCCATGGATTCATACCTTGGGGCTTGCCATTGAAATGGCTGAGGGTCAGACACCCACTCAAATTATACCCGCATTATGATCGCTCACATGACATATTGGGGAAACTGAGGCCCAGAGGCTGGAAGGGGCTTGTTGTAGTGTAGCAGAAGCCAGAACCCAGTTTGTTCTGCCGTGGACACCCGTCCACTCAGAACCTCTGCCTCTCACAGCTATGCACACTCGTACGTACATGGGGAGACCCAGACCCACTTCCATACACACAAACTCACAAGCTGCACCAGGGTCATACACTAGGTGACATTTGCTCAGTGTTTTCTATGCACCAGGCATGGTTCTAAGTGCTTCCCACTAAAGCATTCAATAGTCAATGTATCCACTGAATGTGTCCAATCCACCTATGGGCTGGTGCTATTATCTATCTCTATTTATCTATCTAGAGAGGGAGTCTCACTCTGTCACCCAGGCTGGAGTGCAATGGCACAATCTCAGCTCATTGCAACCTCCTCCTCCCAGGTTCAGGTGATTCTCCTGCCTCAGCCTCCTGAGTAGCTGGGATTACAGACATGTGCCACCACGCATGGCTATTTTTTTTTTTTTTTAAGTAGAGTTGGGGTTTCACCATGTTGGCCAGGCTGGTCTTGAACTCCTGGCCCCAGGTGATTCACTCGCCTTGGCCTCTCAAAATGCTGGGATTACAAGCATGAGACACCACTCCCAGCCTATTAATTTTTTGTTTTGAGGTGGAGTCTCACTCAGTCGCCCAGGCTAGAGTGCAGTGGTGCAATCTCCACTCACTACAACCTCCGCTTCCCAGGTTCAGGAGATTCTCTAGCCTCAGCCTCCCAAGTAGCTGGGATTACAGGCATGTGCCACCATGCCTGGCTAATTTTGTATGTTTAGTAGCAATGGGGTTTCACCATATTGGCCAGGCTGGTCTCAAACTCCTGACCTCAAGGGATCCGCCTGCCTCAGCCTCCCAAAGTGCTGGGATTACAGGTGTGAGCCACTACACTTGGCCAGCAGGTGCTGTCATTATCCCCATTTTAGAGGAAACCAAAGCACAGAGAAATGAAGTAGCTCACCCAGAGTGACACAGGCAGGATGTGACCAAGCTGGGGCTCAAGCTTTGATGAGCTGGCTCTGGTCCTCACACTTCTTCTTTTTGAGATGGAGTTTTGCTCTTGTTGCCCAGGCTGGAGTGCAATGGCGTGATCTCAGCTCACCCCAACCTCTACGTCCTGGGTTCAAGTGATTATCCTGCCTCAGCCTCCCAGGTAGCTGGGATTACAGGTGTCTACCACCATGCCCAGCTAATTTTGTATTTTTAGTAGAGATGGGATTTCACCATGTTGGTCAGGTTGGTCTCGAACTCCCAACCTTAGGTGATCTGCCCGCCTCAGCCTCCCAAAGTGCTGGGATTATGGGCGTGAGCCACCGCTCCTGGCCTGGTCCTCACACTTCTAACCACTGCATAACACTACATAGGTATCCCCAAAGTAAGCATATGTGTCCTGGCCAGGCATGGTGGCTCACACCGGTAATCCCAGCACTTTGGGAGGCCTAGGCAGACAAATCACTTGAGGTCACAAGTTCAATATCAGCATGGCCAATATAGTAAAACCCCATCCCTACTAAAAACACAAAAATCAGCAGGGTGTGGTGGCACATGCCTATGATCCCATCTATTTGGGAGGCTGAGGTACGAGAATCACTTGAACCCAGGAGGCAGAGGTTGCAGTGACCCGAGATTGTGCCACCGCACTGCAGCCTGGGCAACAGAGTGAGGCTCCATCTCAAAAATAAAGAAAAGAAAAAAAGGACATGTGTCTTCACACAGCACACATAAGGGCAGTACACACTCATATTGTCATATGATTTCACAGAGACACACAGGCAGGCAGGCACTGTGTGAGCTCATCTCTTTGAAGTACACGCAGGCTGGTCTACCCATACATCTGTGCACACAGGAAATGCACATGCACACACACATTCCTGGGAACCCACGGAGACGTGCCCGCGTCCATCACACTCACATCACAGCTAAATGCTGCACAGCACACACAGCTTGCCCCTTGGCTAGACGGTGCCCTCCTGCCCCTCGCCTTGGTTGGTGCTCAGACAAGGGTGGCTTCTTCCCTGCTTGCCCACCGGCTCTGGAGCCTGCCTGCATGCTCTGTGCCCTTGCCCAGGCCCGATCTCGTGGACTTCAGCAAACTCACCAAGTCCAACGCCAACTACAACCTGCAGAGAGCCTTCCGCACAGCTGAGCAGCACCTGGGGCTGGCGCGGCTGCTGGATCCTGAAGGTGAGCCCTGAGTGGGCCCAGCCCAGACTTCCTCTTGGGGGACACCCAACCTTAATGTCGTGTCAGACTCTACTCCCTCCCACCCTAGCCCATCCCAAATCCTGAGGTCTCTCCAAATCCCAACTCTCTCCCCAGCCTCCTCCCCTTCCGCCTTCCTTCCTCATGTGCAATCCTTCCCAAGTCCCATCCTCACACCACTTCTTCTCTCATCCCCAACACTGTCCCAGTGTAACCCCTCCTCTTCCCCATTCTCAGTTTCTTCCCACGCCCAACTCCCCCCAACCCTGCTTTCAACCATCTCCCCCAAACCAACTCCCACTCCCCTACTCCAGCCCCAAACCCAATAGCATGTCCAACCCCATCCCCATCCCTAACGCCAACGCCATCAGCCATCATCACGTGTCCCCATCCCCTCCACATCTTCAGCTCTAGCTCCGTTCCTATCCCCACCCTAATCCCTTTTCCAGCCACATTTCGCCCTAGCCCATTCCCATGTCTGTCTCTCCCACAACTCCATCCTCATCCTCAACTGCTTTTCCATTTCCAGTCTATCCCCAACCCCGTCCCTGACTTCAGCCTCAGCCCCAATCCAGGATCAGCCCTGACACCCATCTCCCACCCTGAACAAAAGCTGCTCCCTTCCTCTGAGCATCCACTGTGTGCCAAGCATGGGGCTGGGAACTTCACGAGAGCTGTTCAGTTTCATCTTCACACTGACCTGATTACAGAGAATTTATCAACCCTGATTAATTATTATTTTTTTGAGACAGAGTTTCCCTCTTGTCGCCCAGGCTGGAGTGCAGTGGTGAAATCTTGGCTCACTGCAACCTCTGTCTCCCAGGTTCAAGAGATTCTCCTGCCTCAGCCTCCTGAGTAGCTGGGATTACAGGCATGTGCCACTACGCCCGGCTAATTTTTGTATTTTTAGTAAAGACGGGGTTTCTGCATGTTGGCCAGGCTGGTCTTGGACTCCCTACCTCAGGTGATCCACCCACCTTGGCCTCCCAAAGTGCTGGGATTACAAGCATGAGCCACTGCACCCAACCTATTTTTATTTATTTATTTATCTTTTGAGACAGAATCTGGCTCTGTCGATGAGGCTGCAGTGGAGTGGCGCTATCTCAGCTAACTGCAACCTTCGCTTCCCAGGTTCAAGCAATTCTTCCATCTCAGTCTCCCAAGTAGCAGGGATCACTGGCGCCCACCACCACACCTGGCTAACTGAGAGGTTGAGGCAGGCTGATCACATGAGGTCAGGAGTTCGAGACCAGCCTGACCGACATGGTGAACTCCCATCTTTACTCCAAATACAAAATTAGCCAGGCATGGTATTGCACACTTGTAACCCCAGCTACTTGGGAGGCTGAGGCAGGAGAATCACTTGAACCCAGGAGGCGGAGGTTACAGTGAGGTGAGATTGTGCCATTGCATTCCAGCCTGGGCAACAAGAGCAACACTCTATTTCTTTTTCTTTTCTCCCCACCCAGCCCCAAAACTCCATTTCAAAAACAACAACAACAACAAAAAACAGTATAGCGTATTTCTCTGTGGTGGTTTATATGTGTCAGGTCAGGCACTATTTAATCCCAGGAGGTAGATTTCTGTTTGGCTGATACAAAACCTGAGGAACAGAGAGATTAATTATCTTGCCCAAGGTCACACAGCTAGTGAGAGTGGCTCCTCCATCCCTCCACCCAATAACTTCAAGTGCCCTGTCAAAGTGCCCGCTGTCTTGTTCCCTGACTCCCTCTTCCTTCCAGATGTGAACATGGAGGCTCCAGATGAGAAGTCCATCATCACTTACGTGGTCTCTTTCTACCACTATTTCTCCAAGATGAAGGCTCTGGCTGTGGAGGGGAAGCGTATCGGGAAGGTATAAGGAGCCAAGGAGTGGGTGAGTGGGAAGCTGGGAGCTGGCGGCAGGCCCGGGTGGGGTGAGGCTGAACCCCACCCCCCGCCGTCCTCTGCTACCTCAGGTCCTGGACCAGGTGTTGGAGGTGGGGAAGATCATAGAACGCTACGAGGAGCTGGCAGCCGAGCTGCTGGCCTGGATCCGCCGTACTGTGGGCCTCATCAGCAACCAGAAATTTGCCAACTCCTTAAGTGGGGTGCAGCAGCAGCTCCAGGCTTTCACGGCCTATTGCACGCTGGAGAAGCCTGTCAAGTGAGGCCCAGCTCTGGAGGGAGGGTGGGCAGGGACGGCATGATGGCAGGGCTCCTGAGCTCATGCCCCTCAGGTTCCAGGAGAAGGGGAACCTGGAGGTGCTGCTCTTCAGTGTCCAGAGCAAACTTCGAGCCTGCAACCGCCGTCTCTTCGTGCCTCGGGAGGGCTGTGGCATCTGGGATATTGACAAGGTGAGGCCGGGGATCCAGGGGAGAGGCGGAATTGCACTGTGGAGTGGTATAGGTTGTGCACTGCTCAAGGGAGTCATTCATAGAGTGGGCACAACGGATTAGGTATTCATTCTGACAGTTTTTCAGCAGTCAAGTGTCATAAGGAAGCAACGTTTTTTTCCAATTTGCATGAAGTTGCCCCAAATGCTCTAAGTATCCTCAGACTAAGTCAAGACCATTAAACTGCAGGGAGCTGCCAGAGTCTGACTGCCTCCTCTCATTTCCTGCAGGCATGGGGTGAGCTGGAGAAGGCCGAGCATGAGCGAGAGGCTGCCCTACGGGCTGAGCTGATTCGGCAGGAGAAGCTGGAACTACTGGCACAGAGGTTTGACCACAAGGTGGCTATGAGGGAGAGCTGGCTGAATGAGAACCAGCGTCTGGTCTCCCAGGTACACGGTGTAGGGCTTGGCTGGGGGGGAGGGGGGGGGGGGGGGGGGGGGGGGGGGGGGGGGGG